AAAAATCACAGAAATTTTCAAGACTGGACGTTAAGTAGTTTTTCATTTAAAAAATAAAGTATGACAGGAAGTCTGCGACGTCGCAAACCGAGATACGTGGTTTGGTAGTTTCACCGTCGATATGTATAAAGCTCTTATATGATTCTCATCGTGTTCTTTTAATTTTTTGTCACGACAGGTAAAATGGCAGAGGCGCTGAAACCGGGAGAAGAGATAAAACCTCCCGTGACGGATGATGAGCTTCCGGATTTAGTCGAGTCCCTTTACGGACTAAAAATTACGGAGTGCAAGGAACTGGTCAGCTATGATGATAAAAATTACCATATACAGGTATAGAGTTCCGACCTGCCTTAATACATAATGTTTTATCGCTAAAAAGTAAACAGTGAGCTACAACCAAATTAGATTTTTAGCTTCTGCGGAATCTCGAAATGTTTTCACAAGAAAGTAAACACCATCGCAATGCTTAGTAGATGACTAAGTATTGAAAATAAATACAGTGACCACCCCCGATTATCCGACGGTAACAATGACGTGCTAAGTAAGAACGCCGCACAGTGGATCGAGTCAATAGGAGAGGTCGGACAAAATTTGGAAATTTTAAATGCTTATAACTTTGTTTACACAAAATTTTGACGTTCTAAAAGTTGTTCCATTGGTTTCCTCGTAAAATTTTCTACTAGAAGCACCCCTTGAAATTTAAAATGTGACGAAATAAACATCAAAATTTGCATTTGATTTGACATTTCCATAGAAAATTGTTCAAAGGGGNGGGGGGGGGGGGGGTCGCGATCGGTTCCAAGGCTTCACGCTGAATGGTTAAGTTAAATTAGTATAGGTAATATTAAGTATGCGGTACATGTAACTTTCAATTTGTAATAAACTTGTTTAAATTTGAAGAGTTCGTATTGACTGGATAGCTCCCGCACTGTGCATAGGTAAAATTAAGCATAGTAATAGTTGGACTGCATTTTGCAATTTGGAACTATAAATTCTGGCTCTTCTAGAAAAACACTTATGTGCATAGGGAAACTAATGGCACATACGTTGTTTTTAAACCGGGCTAGAATTTATAGTTCCAAATTGCAAAATGTAGTCCAATTTTTCGACGTCACGAGCTTGAGAACGCGATGAAAAATGGTCTTCTGGCATTTTTTTTGTCAAGGCATGTCGATAATGCAGTTTAGTGACTTAGTGTCATTCTGAAAAACAATCGTAATTATTCGAAAAACTTCTTTCTAGGTTTCGGAGACGTATTCTAATAACTACATATCCGAATTACCAGAGTCCGGGTTTGTTTTGAAGATCCTAAATTCAATGAGCTCTGCCAATATCGATCTCATCGAGGCTCAAAACGCAGTCATACAAAGAATAAGTAAGTGTTCTCACTATTTCCGCTCTCCATTTCGCTTGTGCAGCATACTTTTCATCTCCTCTTTTCTATTTTATCTCTAAAAACCCGGTAGAAAGCGTATATATATCTCTGATTGCAACGTTAGACACAGCTTTTATGCTTTATTTTAATAAATGATTTTAAAAAGCTACACTCAGTTTTTCTGAAAAGTTTCCGTAAATTTATATAAAAGGTCTCAAATATAGGTATCGAACATTTTGAAGCTATATTTTCGTTAGTTCTACCTATTTCCTTGTAATGTAATGAAAAAAAAATAATTAAATATCATTCGAGTTTCTGAATCGTTTCAATGAGCATACATATTTTCCCTTTGCTGATCGTAAAAACTGGAGCAGAAAGTTAAGAATGACGACGCGCACTACGCGCAGTCCTACAGCATTCCTAGAGTCTTGTAAGCCCTAATATGCGAACACGCCACTTGACCGATTGGACTGCGCTCGGCGCAATGCGAGAAGTATTCATACAGTCTTGTAGGCGCTAATATGGGCTTGACGCCGACCGCACCGTTTGGCGCAATGCGTGAAGTATTTCTATAGTCTTGCAGGCGCTAATATGCGTTCAACGCCGGCCGCATTGTACTCAGCGAGATTATTCGAACTCGCGTTACGAATAATCATGACATCGGATAATAGAGCTTATAAAAGGCCCATGATGTGTTGCGACACCGTTATGAGCATTCCAGCGTCGCCTCGTTTCTCCCGATTGAATATTTTTTCCGAGAAAAGTTAGGAAAATTCTTTATACCAACGACCATTATTCAATCTTCTCACTCCATTTATATCATCAGAAGGTGAGGCATCGATGACTTGTCAACAAACTAACCTAAATAAACTAGCGTCAACATAAAAATGCGTTTATTTTCCAACTGTTTCCTGTTTTGCCAAACTTCTACTTTAAAAAAACTTCATTTTAAATCCGCGCATTCCTGTTGCAGATGTTAAGCTACCTATTCACGCAATCTTTGTGCCTTTTTCGCGTAATCTTAATATTTTCTTAGACTTTGCGCACAATCCTGCATTACCGCTCCTTAGCACGGGAGATCTTAAATGTGTTCTTCAGATTTTCCTCGGCCTTAATCCCTGAAAATTTGAAAAGCCTGGAGCATAGGTGTCCCTATCTCCTTGATGTCTATGGACAAAAAATCTACTCTGTAGATGGCTGCAGGTTCCTTTCGGAACAAAAGCCAATAAATCAGCCAAAAAAAAAAAAAACACAAAAAAAAACTATTGGTCTTCATGGAACCTATGGTGGAACCGGATTCAATAGCATGGCGAACATAGAGCTCCCGAGAAACATGCATTGTTTTGCATAGATCATTACCATAAAATTAATTTATTGGTGTCATGTTTCAGGAGATAATCAAAAGACATTCAAGCACATCCTCTTTCCGAAGTTGGTAAAAACTCGATGCGGAAAGGAATACATTCTTCAAGAATTAGGTGGGTTGCGTTCTAAAAAGAAGTCAAATCCAGCACCGTTATAGTTTTACTCACATGCAAACGGCGGTTTTTGCTCAGTTCCTGTTACTTCATGTGAGGACTCACGGAAAAAAGTGTAAAGGGTTATCCCCTAAAATTGTGCTACTATCCCAATTTGATGGATGATGTGGACATTTCCAATTAATTGTAGTAGTACCGCAACTCAAGTTGAGGTTGTTCCGAAATATTTGGGTTAGTAACCTAATTTATTGGAGTACTACCACATTTCGTTGGGGTACTACCGCAAGGAATAGGGGTTCTACCACAATTAATTGGAAATGTCCACATCCTCCAACAACCACGTGCTTTTTTTATCCGTGCAGAGCTACGCCTCACTCAAAAAACAAGTATGGGAAGAGTGACTTACCGGCCGACTTATGGATCATGGAGCCATAAAATGTAGTTCGTGGAGCCATGCTTATAGGTTCACGACCAATGAAGTATGGCTCAGAAAGCCATACTGTAAACGGCAAATCACTTTGGTCAGAAGTTATGGATCTCCGAGCCATTTTTTATGGGTCTCAGAGTCGTGAAAATAATTCACCAAGATTTGAAATTCCGTCAAACTTTGCTGATATACTGGCAATACTTGTATCCTAGCATTCTAGTGATACACTAGTAATTTTATTAAATTTGGATCAGCAAAATTTATATATTTAATCTATTTATATTTTATTGAAATTTTAAGTTAAGTTAAACTAATAATTTTCAAAATTATAATTAAATTTAGTGGTTTAAATTTTCATAAAGAAGAATTTCAATAAGAATTTTAATTGCTTTGGTGAAAATACCAAAGAGTTCGAATTTGTGAAGAGGTCAGAGCCTGACTATCTTTGTAAATGTTTAATTAAATAAATCAAGAATACAGAAAAGTTCGACACAAACGTCATGTGCACTTTTCAATGAGTATTTGTATAAATAAGCAAAGTGATTTTTTCTCCCCAGGCGAACCCGGGAAAAAGTATGCGGTGCGGCTGTTTGAATACATTCCTGGAAATATACTGCATGGCGTGTCCAGTATACCCTTAACTTTATTCGAAGAGATAGGCTCTACAGTAGGCAGGATAGACTTAGTGTTGAAGGTGAGGAGGCCCTTTGACGTATCCTTTGAGCTTCGTCTTAAAAATTGTTACATCACGACTTGTGCCGATTAGTTGACTGATTTTCACAAGAGGATTTAGAATATTAACGTGGTCTGCGATATGTCCAATTAGTAGTTTTAAGATAACTATGTAAACTGAGTTGGTGATCTTGCCATGTGCGTGAAATTCCCATTACAGAGGGAAAAAGTTCATTCTCAGCTGCTCTATGGGAGAATACCATCTCAAATGAGCTTTTTCCCTCTATAATGAGAATTTCACGTAGATGCCAAAATCACCAACTCTATCTAAACAACGCGTGCGCCAAACCGCAAGCAGTTCATAACAACCTGGGTTTGAAGTTGAACGATTACATGGTGCCGCACGGACCCAAAAATAATTTAAGTTGATTAAAAATTGGAATGCTCTTGAGTAATACCGATATGAGGACATTTTTGAAAGACGCTGCGAGGGATCTTATGAAGGATCCCTTTCTGGAGTAAAAAACTTTTTTTTTGCAGAATTGAACTCCAGCAAATTAAGGCACATTCTTAAACATCTTTGGAGAACGTTATTTACGAAACATAATAAGCACCGTAACTGAGCATTAAGACACATGAACATGAACAATCACTGAAAATGTCAACCTCAACCATTGGCTTCATTTCCAAGCTACTGATATTTGTAGATTTTTTTTTTTTTTACCAAAGTTTAAATAATTTATCTTTGATCCATCTTTGCAGAATGGACCACTAGACAAGATACGAATTTAAGCATTCCGGCACATATTCCTGTACCAGAATTTCAAGTAGAACCCGATTCCCGCATCGAGAATTGCTGAAATCAACCCCTAACTAAGTTAATAATGTTTTTATTTTACACTGATTACAGGAAATTTGCATTTCCCGCTCACAAGAAACGCAACAGTCTACGTGAGTCAAATAGTGCACTACAACAATAGTGACCGTCTTTTTAATCGAGCAGTTTTCTTGCTCTACCCTGTGATGTTAAAAGTGTAAACAACCTGGAAAGCTTGAGTCGAAGTGCTAAGATTGAGGTTGTCATATTTTCATGCCGGACTGACTATTAGGATAACGTTTGGTGCAGGATTTGACTCACGTAGGTCTTTGCGTTTTCATGAGCGGGAGGTTTGAATTCTCGCGTCAAGAAACATGCAATATGTTGGTTAGGAGTTGATTTCAGTAATTTTCACTGCCCGAGTCGTGTTGTACATGGAATTTTAGTTAAGAAACATGTATCAGAACCCTTAACTTCCTCCTTGTCTAGTGGTCCATTTCCACCAAAAATACTCGATTAGAGTTATGACTGTCTCAGACAGTGCTCCCATTTCCCGGAACTAGTTCCGAATTCCGGAACTTTTGAGATTATCCTGAATTTTTCTCGGAACTTTTGAAATTCTCGAAACTATCCAAATCTTCTGAATTTTTCGGAACTTTTACGAATTATTTTAAAAAAATCTGAAAGGAATTCCGGAACTTTTGATGGTCATTGAGTGGGAGAAATTGAAACAAAAATGTTCCGAATCCCGGAACTTCTGATGGACAATATGGACACACGTATTTCTGCGAAACGGAACTATGTGCATTATTACGTGAGCCCTGTTATGCATATATTCTTATGGCTCTGAGGGCTCATGTCTTAATGCACATAGTTCCGTTTGACAGAAATACGTTCATTTAATGGGAGTGCTGGTCTCAGATGCTCAGCATAAAAACTGACCGGAGGAATCGAAACTTTATGTTAGAAGTTATGTCTAGCCATTAACTTTGCTTAGTTTTCCAGGGCTTTTGGCACAAGGGCTACCAAGAAACGAAGACGGTGTGGATGCTGGATCACATTGAATCGCTGGAACCGTTTTTGTACGCTGTAAAGAACGAGGGTGACCGCACCCTGGTATCTGAAGTCATCGACACCTTCCAGCAAACTGTCATGAAACATTACGATCAGTTCTCGAAAGGTTAGACGTAGTTTTAAGAACTCGGAAGTAAAAAAATACCTCAATCCACGGTGTAACCAAAACTGGGAAATCTTGAGGGATTTTTTTTTTTCAGAGGAAGCCATGTAAAACTGCATGCAACTTGCAACGGGAAACAAATCGACGGAGAACAAACTCAGATCTCATTGGCAGCATATATTAGAGCATTGAGAGCTCACGCTTCGCGTGATCACGCCTTCAATTTTGCAGATGCAGCACGGACGTCCATCAAGTACGGATAGTTGTATCTTTGCGCCGTCGTTAAAGCGCATCCTTTCCCTCCCTCTATTTCCACATTGTGTTTGTTTGCGTTTGTCTTATTCGTAATGGTGCTTCAAGCACTACGTGAGTAACACAGCCGAAGGTAGGAGAGATGTGTTCGGGTCTCTTCTTTAACTTTTCTACCGAATCTGAGCGACACCTCACTGACAGCATATAGCAGAGCATTGAGAACTCACGCTTCACGTCATCGCGCCTTCAATTTTGTAGATGCAGCACGGACGTCCATCAAGTACGAATAGTTGTATCTCTGCGCCGTCGTTAACGCTGGTGCTTCAAACAAGTAGCATAGAGCAGAGCATTGCGAGTTCACGACTCACGCCATCGCGTCCTACATTTTTCATATCGACGGTGAAACTACCAAACCACGTATCTCGTTTGCGGTGTTTAAAAATCTACGCTCGCATTTTATTTTTTTGAAGTAGACCAAATCAATATCATTCCTTGAAATTTTTACAGAATTTTCTCCGCACGAAGAGGAAAAATCACAGAGATTTTCAAGACTGGACGTTGAGTAGTTTTTCATTTAAAAAATAAAGTATGACAGGAAGTCTGCGACGTCGCAAACCGAGATACGTGGTTTGGTAGTTTCACCGTCGATATGAAATGTGGACATCCATCTTGCGCTAATAGTTGTATTGCGTTTACACTTTAGATGTCTCTTATTTTTGAATTTCGAGATAAGTTAAGGTTAAGTTTGCCCGAGATATGCCATGGTATATCCAAATCAATAGTCATTTTGAAAAGAAGAAATATGTTTAAAGGTCTCTCAAGAGGTCCATTAATGGTGCGTATGTCTAAAAAGCGAACCGACCATCGCATCTAAGGGAGTTACACATGGTTACAATGTGTTTGTGTGTTGAGACTTCTACAGACCTAAGGGTCCAGCGACGTTTCAAAATTAATGCCGCCATTTTACAGAGAAATTGTTAATAGAGTCTGTTTGAAAATTTCACTGAATTTTATCGGTAGCACAAGGAAAAGTCAGTGAAATTTTCGAATAGCTTCGTTGGACAGTTTCTTCGTAATAAAATAAAATGGCGGCGGAAATTTTGAATCGTCGCCTGGCGCTTGTGAGACTTTGGCCGGAAGGTGACGACTTATAGTTCTTAAGCGCAAAATAAAGTCCAAAAAATGTCGGGCGATCGAGAATTAGACTTTATTTTGCAATTTGGAACAACAATTTTTGGCTCAGTTTAGAAACAACGTATGCACCATCAGTTCGCCCCTACATACATTAGTATTTTTCCGGATGAGCCGTAAATTGTAGTTCCCAATTGAATCGACGAAAATGTCCGTTGTCCAATACAGGGTTTTATAATTTCAGTGGTTTCTTTTGCCCCGCGACACGGATGGATAAGATCGATCTCATTTGTAAACGTTTATTTATACTTAAAGGATTGTTTATAAAGTTGTTCTACATTCCGAACGTCTTAAACCATCTTGCGTCTATAAATTTCAACGAAATCGTCCACTCAAATTCTGAAACACTGTCTTGGACATCGGACGTTTTCGCATACGTCGATTCAATGGAGTCCATTGAATCGACGTTGGAGTACATTGAATGGACCACCAGACAAGGTACGAATTTCAGCATTCTGATACATGTGTCTTGACCAAAATTTCACGTAGAATACGATACGCACGACGAAAATGACTGAAATCAACTCTTTACGAAGATACTTAATGATTCTTGATGCGTGAATTCAAACCATCCGCTCATGAAAACTCAATGCCCTGCGTGATTCACATCGCGCGCTAAACGTTATCATGGCGCAGTCTCTGCGATATAAAAATCTGGCAACCTCAATCTTGACGTTGTGGCTCAGCTATAGCAAATTGCTAATAGTTTGAACAACACATGGTGGGAAATGAACATTGCTCGATTGAGGAGCTTGCTGAAACCGTTGTAGTGGGCGATTTGACTCACGTAGAGCATTGAGTTTCTTGTGAGCGGGCAGTTCAAAATCTGCGTGACCAATGTGAAATAAAAAGGTTAATATCTTCGTTAGGAATTGGTTTCAGTAATTTTCGTTGTGTGAATCGTTTTCTACGTGAAATTCTGGTTATGAAACACGTATCAGAATGCTTAAATTCGTACCTTGTCTAGTGATTCATCGCAAAATGCAATCAAATTTCTTCTCAGAGTTGGTTTATTTCTGAGCTGAAGGATTGAATTGATGAATTGCAGGGGTCATCCACGGGGACTTCAACGAGTCGAACGTCATCGTGGGTCGGCACTCAAACTGCGACGCCGGCGACCTCCACGTCATGGGAGTTCTCGACTTCGGCGACACTTGCTACTCGACGTACCTCTTCGAGCTGGCCATCACGATCACCTACGCCATCCTCCAGGCGGACGATCTCATCGCCGGAAAACACGTCCTCAAAGGCTACACTAAAGTCAACCCCCTCTCTCAGCTCGAACTCCAGTTCCTTAAGGTTCGTTATTTCAATGCTTCCGTCGCACAGAGAGACAGGTACCCTGAAAAAAAAATCTCGGTGTATTTACTAAGAAAAGGGTGAAATTACCAAGAATTCAGGATTCTATTTGATCCCAGTTTTTTCTTGGTAAAATTACCATTTATGGAATTGGTAATTTTACCGAGAAATCTCGGTAAAATTGTTGAACTTTCTCAGTAATTTTACTGGACCTTGGTAAAAACGCCAATATTTTTTATCGACTGTGGTAGAATTACTGAGATAAAATGGCAATGTTACCGGGAATTGATTACCAATAAAAGTGGTATTTTTACCTGAAAAAAACAGTAAAAATATTGGTTTTTAGGTAAGCTTACCAGTCTGTCTTGGTAAAATTACCAATAATTGTTAAAAAAAAATGTGAGATGGTAAAGGTATTAACGGACCTCGGTAAAAATGCCGAGAATTTTTTTTCAGTGTAAATGGGAGAGGCCGAACAGAATGTGGAAACCTTAAAAGCCCATAACTGCGGTGATACAACGTTAAGGTTTCAATGGTGGTTTCACGATAACTGGAATGTTTCGTCGCCGTAACATATTTTTTGGTCATATTTTTAGTGGTTTTGATAATCATTCGAATTTTTTTTGCATTCATCTACACAGGGTTACGTGTTAAAACGCTTTTCAAAGATTTATCGCTCGACTTTTCAATTTTAATATATGAATGGCCGAAAGTGTGCTGTCTATTACGCTGACTTTTTACCGTGTAACAGACAGCACACTTTCGGAATTTACATAATATTAATTGAGAAGTAGAGCAATAAATCATTAGAAAGCGTTGTAATACGTATTGAAAATTAGTGCGAAAAAATTCGAGTGATTATCATTTCTACGAAAAATATGACCGAAAAATGTGTTGTCTGTTACGGTGACAAAACTATTCCAGTTATCGTGAAACTACCCTCAAATGTGGTTCCAGTGGTTTAATTCCTTGTGAAATTTTCTTTGAGAAGCACCCCTTTAAATTTAAAGTTTCTCGAAATAAACATGGAAATTAGCTTTTAAAAAAGTTAGCTTTAGTAAAAAAAATCCATGTCCGACCTCTCCTATTGACATGATTCATTGTGCATCACATGGTATATTTTTTCTGGCACTATCTGTACCCCCAGAAAGCGGCTATATATTTGTTCCCGGCTGCCGAAATTCGGTAAAATTACCGAACTGCGGGCTGACAATTGAAATTAAAACAGAAAACTATGGACGAATAAGAAATGGGGCGATCCAATCGGTGGGAACCGATTTTTTATGTAGACTAAGGGGGAAAATTATGGGCAAGCTCAAGTAGCTCCCCCCCCCTCCTCTCAAAATTTCACACTCCAGAGCGGTGTTAATTAAATTTTTGGACGCTCGTATATCTCCTTTTATACCCAGGACGTTCAATTTTTCGCTAGGATTGGAACGTCGTCGCGATTCAACGTACAACTGGAAGATTCTCATGAACATTTTGGTTCCATGCCTCGAAATAAATTCGATTTTTTCATGGTGCAGGTCACTGAGGAGTTTGAACTTTGAGACCTCCTCTCCCCCAAGTAGCATTTTCAACGGAAAAATTGCGGTATTTTGAAATTAAGTTGCGAATTTTTGACGATATTTTGGCCATAAAATATCGATATGATCATCAACATCTGAGCGAGTATCCTCAAGCTTGTCGGAATTTTATCTCTATAAAATTGTATTCGATGAAACTTTATGTCAATTTATAACAACTTTTGTTCGATAAAATAAATCCTCAACGATAAAATCGCTATTTTATTGCAAATTTATGCGATGAGATCGCAATTTATCTCAAATTTTCATCCGATAGTATTGCGATAAATTGACGACGATAAAATCACGATACATTCTCCGATCAAATCGCAACTTATCGCGATCACTGCTACTTGGGAAAAAATTCCCATGAACACTTTGCACTGGAAAAAAAAGAATCTTAAATTTGCCGCCAAGAAGTACGAGTATTTCTTCTTAAATCAAGAATTTTGCTGGTTAATATAAGCTACTTTTTTGCTTAACCCAAGCATTATTTTTCTTGAATCAAGGAAAAGTCAGCTTAAAGCAAGATAAAGAAAATTCTTGGCGGCAAATTCAAGAATTATCATGCTTGATCCAAGCTACTTTTTTTTTTCAGTGTGGTCTCGAGCCACCAAATAAATTTGATTTTTCATCGTTCAGTTCATTGAAAATTTTGAACTTACAGACCCCCTCTCCCTGAATCGGTCACTATGTTTTGTTTTGCAGACATGCATATGCGCCCGTCTGTGTCAGAGCTTAGTGATGGGGGCCTATACTCTCCTCCAAAACCCGGAGAACACATACGTGGCGCGAACGAGCTACAGAGGCTGGCGATACCTGAAATTGCTCCGGCCGATGGACTCCGACGCTTTGTTGCACTTGTGGACTGCGGCTGACCCATCCACCATCGCGGAGGAATAGATCCGCGTCCTCGAAAACGCCTTCAATTTTTAGTTTATGCAACCAGGCCGAATTCGGTCTTACACATTCCTACACACAGACTGACAATCAAATCAAGGAGCATCCAAAAATTCAGGGTACCGGTATAGAAACAGCATCGCCAATTAGCGGAGGAGTAGATCCTCGTCCTCGAAAACGCCTTCAATTTTTAGAGTATGCAATAAGACCAAATTCGGCCATAGACATTCCTAAACACAGACTGACAATCAAATCAGGGAGCATCCAAAAATTCTGGTCGAATAAAGGACCGATATGGAAAGAGCATTGCCAATTAGCATTGAGTGATCGTTTTCATGGGGTAAAAATTATCACTTTATGATAAAAATTAGCATTAGTTAAAAGATACCGCGACCGTTGCACGCAACCGGGAATTTTTATGCCGCACAAAGTTTTAATCAACTCTGCATTTTTTAATTTTTTTTTTTTTTTTTAGATATGCATTTGTGCACGTTTGTGTCAGAATTTAACAATGGGCGCCTATAACCTTCTCCAAGATCCAGAGAATACATACGTAGCAGGAAATCGTCCCAGAAACTGGCGCTATTTGAAACTCCTGTGGGCCATGGATTCCAAAGCATTAATACGCTTGTGGACTCAGGACAATGTTTTACAATAAAGAGGCGGTAAACGAAAAGGTCAGAGGCAGAGGGGTTGAATCACATTGTAGCGTTGCAAAGTTTCATTCGACACCTCGATTTTTTCCCAGAGGGACCGCTATCTCTGACAATTTAGTCAATTTTCTTTCATATTTGAAAAATATTGAGCCTGAAATTTTTTTATAGAATATGCACCCATTAATGAATGAAGAAAAAGGTTGTCAAATGAAACTCTGCAACATTGCAAGGAAGTCAAACCCCTCTGACTCTTGAACCCTCACTATATGGTTTAAAATGGCCAAAAAATTAATGAAATCGGGATTTTTTTTTTTTTTTTCATTTATCGAAGTTGTTTTTCCCTTCCCCCTGTTTCCCTCTTTTTCCTTTTTATCGAGAATTTCTTTTTTTTTAGATATGCATCTGTGCACGTTTGTGTCAGGTCTTAACATTGGGTGCCTATAATCCTCTTCAAGATCCAGAAAACACATACGTTGCCGGAAATCGTCCAAAAAAGTGGCGGTATTTGAGACTGCTTTGGCCGATGGATTCCAACGCATTATTGCACATGTGGACTCATGAAGACTGACGAGGTTCACAGTAGCAGAGTATAATATTTCTTAAAAAATGCAATTTCAGTGAACAGTGGCAGTAGCTAAAAAAACATACTCATACGCTACTTCCAAATTATCTGTAGGCACTTTCATGCGAAAATGTGAATGAAAAATTCCAGAACAATAATACGATTATTTTTAATACATTTAGATTCGCGTCTGACAATGCATTAACACCAGTTAAGTTAGAAAATTGTCTCCAACACGCTACAAAAAGTTTTGCCAGAGACAAATCTCATCCTGGTTGTAGGTCCTTTTCAGAAATATTTAATATTTTTTGACAAACTTGAAGATTTGTGGGCAAGATAACCCTCTAGGATAAAAAAAAAAAAATTGCCAAGGTCTAACTGGCTAGAAAGCTTTGTGTCGTTGGAAAAAAGGAAATTTCTTCAACGATACAAATTGTTTGTTTCAGGGTCTATGTTTTAAACACTCTCCCATCAATTAATAAAGTAATAATTGCTCTATACTTAGATCAGAACAAATCATTATTTGGACTACATGTTGCGATAAAGAGGAACACAACATCTGACTCATTTCAGAAACAACATATGTGCATGATGTTCACCATGTGCAGATGGGCGCTGTCATAAATGAATCAGAACTAGTTCCTCATTGCAAAATTTAGTCCATTTTGAATGTACCTACAAGTACCAAGAAATATGGGTTTTCTTCATCTGTGCCTTAATTTAGTCTTTTAAGTGCCAAAGCACATATGTAATTATTTCTTAAGTGTTTGTTAAAAATATTCCCCTTATATGTGCCTACCTTGAGAAATTGTGAATTGATGTCACTTTTTTGTCTCCAATGAAATGAATAAAAATTTATTTTATCGAGACCTGACTTGCATTTTTTATGTATCCTCTTTGCAATAATATACCTAAGGATAGTGTGTGGTAGCAGAGGTTCTCAGAGGGAAACAAAAAGAATCAGCAATATCTTCCTGTGAAATATTTTGGATAATTTCACAATCCTTTAAAACATTTTAAAAATGTGCGACAGTACCTATTCACTAGAGGCTAGGCACACTAAATAATTCAAAAGAAAAGAAAAACAAGTCGGCAGGACTCAATCCTTTCAGAATTGAAATATAGTTTCCCTGCTAGTATGAAAAGTTGTACCTAATTCACCTATTAAAATTGCCAGAAAAAGAATTTGTAAACTTTACTTTATTAATATTTATTTATTTGTCTAAGAAGTATTTATTCAAATGGTTAATCTTATTGGTCGATAGGCATTTAAAAATGTATGCAAACCCATTCACGAGATCATGAGATGGATTGATGGATATTAACACCTGGATACAACTATTCGACCTCTGTGGATGTGCGTGTTGCATACGTCAACACTTGAAGGCGTTTTGACTTCGCCCGCATCTTACGAACTCCTGACATGATATTCTAGGAAAGGGAGGCAATCTATCACACTTAAAATCGATTATTTTACAATTCAGTAGCAAAAGTGCAAAACCACTTATCTCCATCGCGAAGTCTGGTCCTAATTTGTTTTTTCGGAGAGCAACAAGCTGATTTCATGGCTTGAAATTGATACAGAATACTTTGCTATAGGAGAAACAAAACGAAAGAAATCTTCGATAAATTCAGTTGACTAGTTAATAAAAGAAAAAATAAAGTATGACAGGGCGTCTGCAACATCGCAAAATGAGGTGCAAGGTTTCGCACTCTAGCCATAGATATAATAAAATGGGAAAATTATGATCACTGTCAGGCTTCCTCGCATTATTTTCATCTCCGCAGATATACAAATCTCTCATTCTCCATCAATCGTAATGAAATGTTTCATGAATTGAGGGGCTAGGAGGACACCGCACATAAATGCAGTATTTTTAAAAAATTGAGATAATTAATGGTTTCAAAGAGAACTAGTCTTGATGCATATTCTGTGAGAAATTTGCTCCCAACTTCCAATTTCTAAGCATCAAAAGGTCAGTTTGAATTTTCTTTCCGTCATAAGAATCCATGTAATTTCGAAACTTTTAACTTGTACATCTTGCAATACCTAGCAAAAACTGCACTTATGCACCAAACCCTCCAAGCTCTTCAATTCTGCAACTCAAGGGGATAAAGAATCTTATAAAGGTGCTTTGTATTTCGTTTGAAATTTTATTTTCAATTTATGGCACCAAGAAACAACAAAAGCTTTAGACAATTTAGTGAAAACAATTACATTATTAATATCATACATTTTTTTATCAATTTTTAATAAACACAATATTAATCATAGTATCTACAGTAAATGTAACTTATACTTAGGTACATTTAACTCATAGTTTACATTTTTCACTCAAACTATTCCCATACAAACAACATTCTTCCACTATTTTCAGAGTTGGTCACAGAAACATTTTCGCGATTTCAAATAGTTCCGGATTACATTTTGGATCTTCATTATTTGTACTGCCGATCCTAGATTATCCAAACTTAGTTTTCAGAAAACTGATTCTCTTTTTGGCATGAACATACAAAATAGATGGTTACTAAGGAATTCCGTGAAAGGAATCCGAGCTCTACTGTTCGTAACCAATCAACAATTTGTTTGAACAATTTGAGGTTTACAGTGTTTCATTTCCAGAGCTTAAGAAAACCTAAAATATGAGTTGCATATCTAGGTTCACTGTTTTGGAAGCAGACAGTGGACGCTGTCAGTTTTTTTTCCCCCACTATATCACAGCTTGGGAACCTGCCCTTTCAATTCCTCAAATAAGTATGGAGGGTACAAATTAAAGTGGACTCTTCAAGTGATGCAAAATTTAAGTATTGTAACTTGAATGATTTAAGTAAGGATATTGCGCATCAAAAATCCACATTAGTTTTCGACTTTGGAAGGCACCCTTTTAGAGGCATCAAAAGAAAAAAGTTAATCAAACTGGTTGGCTACTCTGGATGCTGTAATATGATGGACTGTGGACTTTGAAAACCTTCAGCAGAAACGAATCAAACTGGTTTTGGTGCCAAATTAAAAATTTGTGGTTGCTTGATAAACAAAATTCACTCAAAATTCTCCCACGACTGAGGCAAGGCAGCATATGTGTAATTGATGGGGGTCAATATTGTGCGGAATATTTGTGCGCTATTTCTGGTGTTAACGTTGACATCTTGCTGTGCAAATCAACTGCGGGGGAAAAATTGAAGATTTACAGTATTGAATTATAAAAAATTAATTATGATAAAATTGTGCGTTTTCAAAGTAAAAGAATAAACCACAGAACAACTCCAGAGTGAAAAATACTGATCTGCTGAGCAAACGATTGACACCCATTTTGCCCTGCTAAGGAAGAACTTCCTTGGAAGAAATACACCTTCAGAAGTTGCCAAATTCCCTTTAAAGATACGAATTTTCAGGGGAATCTGTGAATATTTTTTCTCCAATTTTTCGGAGAATTTCAGTAACAGATGTAAATTATCTGAAAATTTTGAGAGAAAATATTCATGACTGTCCTTAAAAGTAAACAAATTATTGGAGGAAATTTCGTAATGATACAGCGTTTTTCCTTGATGCGCAGCATTGAAGGGTGATCATAATTAATTTTTGTTTCACAGAAACTTTGAATTTAATAAATTACAATTATGGTGGACCAACAGTACTAAATTAAATTTTTAGGGAGAAATTCGGGGCAATTTTTTTCTTGATCTTTGTGCCGGTTAAAAAGAAAGGGAACTCATGATGTTGGTTGAAACATATGCAAAAAACTGCAATCAACTTCTTTGAGCAACGTACAGAAAAAAAAAAATATTCTCAACAAATGGGTACAGTGGTTGACTCTTCTGGAGGAACTGAAACACAGATTAAACAGTAAAATATCCCTAAATTGTGCTCATCGGACTGTTTCTTATTCCCTTTGTAGAATTAGAAGATCTCTCATTAAAACACAAAAAGAAAGAGAGAAAAAACTGGGAACTTGAGTCAACAAAAAGAAATGTGAAAATAGGAGTCTCTCAGTGACAAACACACCCTGCAATACCATATAAATAAAACACATTCACACACACGATGCCAAATTTAATTAAATGCTTCATTGGACTTACAGTAAAAGGTAGGTAACTCAATAAAATGTACAACCTTCAGTTTCAAAGTGATCGGTCCTACAAGTAAAAATTCTGTGTTTAGAAGGGTGAAGAGCAAATCTTAACTTCATCTCTAGCTCCATTTGAAAAAAAAAACACAAAAAAACAACTAGATTTGAAGATAAGAAAAATCTAGTGTGTTCTGGATTGGCGACCCAAGTTTAAAAGCCCCTTGAAACAGAATGATGTTTGTTGATAAACCAATTCTAAGGATCTTATGTTTATAATCAGGGCTTTAAAAATTTGCGAAGCTTCATAATATTTCGCTGTGAAAAGCAAGGTGCAAAATCACTTCCATGAGAGATTTTAACAGAGTTTAAACCCTTACAGTGAGAGACATACACTTTATACAAAATGGACAAATTTATGAGTTGATCTTCACATTCAGAATGGTTACAGGAATTTCCCATCTATTTGGTCGTCCTCTTACGTATATTCTAGATTTTTAAATTGTATTTAATTTTACTTATAGGATTTGAGATGCAGCAATGATGTATCTACATGGGAATATTTTCTTTTAAAAAATATTTTCATATAGAATATTCTTCAAACTTCTAGCTTTTGGAATGCAGTACTTCGGCTCTCATAAAACTAGCCTTGAGTGGATGAAAGTGAGAACATAAAAATATGAATGCTGCAACGAAAAGACAAATGATTCAATGGTTTTTTGATACCAAGTATGAGAATTCACAATTTCTACTTAGCAGAGAGTAAATCGATGGCTATAATGCAAAACAACGTACACTTTATTTGCAACGTTGCAGACTTCTCGCCGTACTTTGTTTTTTGTTTAGAGAATTAATCAACACAATTTCTTGAAAATTACCTTGATTTTCCTTCTCCAGTTGCAGAATAATCTGTCTAAAATTTCAGACTTTGATTTGCTTTGTTCCTCTTTGAAAAATAAAATAAGAGCGGAAATTTTGTAACACTGTAATGAAGATACGTAGTTTCCCACTTTGACCATTGAAGGAGCATTAATATGATCTACTATAATGCGACTGACTGCTTGGAAAAGAAAAAGGTTTTAAAGACTAATTATCTAAAAATTCTCATGTCTCACTGAAATATTCAACATTTTCAAAGTATGTCCTTTTTTAAAGGTTTATCTGTATACTGTATGATCCCAAGTAGCAGTGATTGCAGTAAATAGCGATTTTATCGGTTGGTTATCGCGATTGTATTGGTGGCAATATCGGAATAAATATTGCAATATATAACAATTAAATCGCTACACATCGCAATTTTTGGTTCGATAAAATCGTGATCAATTTTTGTCGATAAAATTGAGATTAAATCGCCATTTATCTCGATTTTTATTTCGAAAATATCGCGATAAATTGTCGAGCAATTCTATCGCTATAAGATCGAGGATAATCACTCAGATGTTGATGATCCGGACGATTTTATCGCCGATAAAATCGTAATACATAGCGATTTTTCCGTTGAGCAATGCTACTTGGGATAAGTTTCTTTCTACTCTAAGGTGTTTTCCTTGCTTTTAACTTCTAGAAATTCACTGATTATTCCTAAAAATTTATAATGCACTTAGTCTTGGGCTATTTGTGCGTCTGATGAAAGGTGAAAAATGTACATACGTGTACCTAAGTTTAACTTGCCAGGAGATTTATACAATGTTACAAAGGCAACAGGATGAAAACTCATCATTCCTAAAAATCATCATTTCTAAATACAAGCTGGCTTCAGAAAACGTCTTCTGACATTTTCTGGTGATAATAATGTCAAAAAACAGCATTTACGCAGTTTATATAACAGAAAGAGAGTAATATCCATCGTAAGCTTAGTTTCACCGAGTATTTTCCAATCCTAGGACTCCTCGTTAGGAGGCTTTTTATTCTGAGGTTGGAATGCTTCTCTTTACAAATGCGGTCACATTTCAACTGTGAAACAGCAGGAAGACACATCTTGTTTGCAGTGTTTCAGAATTCCTGCTCCTATATGGTTTTATCGAAGGAGAACAAACCAATGCTTTTGCTTGAATTATCATAGAATTTTCTCAACACAGAGAAGAAAAATCAGGGCAGTTTTCAGGATATTATGTTGAGTATTTTTAGTTTTAAAATAAATAGGATGACAGGAAGGCTGCAATGTCGCAAACCAAAATCCATGTTCCTGCATTTCACCGCCGATTTGCACTTCGGACGAAAGCAGATTTACCCAAAGGAGTGAAAGAGTAGGCTGTGAGGAGTTTGGTCCAGAGAAAAAAAAAAAAAAACTAGTCCAATATTGTCCATATCTTACAGGATAAAAGGTTATCACTTCATAATGTAATAAAATAAAGATAATAATTGGTCATGAAACTTAAGAAATAAAAATGAACCGATAAATACAGATAGAAAGTCTCCCTACCTACTTACATTAGGTAGTCTAAATCCTATCAAGTTTGAACATTTCGAAACAATGCAGGAGAGCTAAACGAACTGAGCCTGTCCTAAAACCCAAATTTGATTATCACAATTTCAATACCTCGTACCCAGAAATTCACATTCAATGTGGGTAAACTTAAAATAATTTTTAAAAAACAACAGGTATGAAATGGAATCCCAAAAAGCTTAACTAGCCTAATTACTCAGAGGTTGCTTCATTTTGCTCGCTTTGCACATCATGCCACTTGACACAATGATTCTAACACAATTATTCACTCTGCTAATTGGATGACATTTTTCGATAAGGAATCACTATTTCTGGCCCATTTTAGAAACAACATACATGCCATTAGTTTCCCAAATGCAAATATGTGCTTGTGTGGGAGAGCCAGAGATAGTGGTTCCTTATTGCAAAATGTGATCCAATTATTTTCATCCCTGCTCTGTGCTGAGCTGACGTTTCCCTGAACGCCTCCTTTGCACAGAGAAATCTGACCATAAACTAGTTGTTTACTTCGTCAATTTAGAGCAACAGAGCTATTAGTGTTCTGTGGGATTGGACCTTGCCTGGATCTACAGAAATGTGCTTTAAAATTACTTCGTAGAAAAGAGAGGGTTAAACTTGTTTGGCTATGGGGCTTTCATTTGAGCTTCTTACAATTCATGAACGCAAAAAAATATACTGAAGTTCTTTTCCCAGAACTCGCTTGGTTCCATAAAAAGAATACATAGATTCACTCTGAACTACCACTACAGCAAGATTTGGAGATATCGTTTGACATCCTATCTTAAAAACTGGGCCTTCAAATTGAGACAAGACTTTATCGAATAAATGCATTTGAAAATAAAAAGAAGAAATCTTACTCGACATGCTTGAAAACGTAATTTTCTACCTGTTTCACAGATCACAGAAACAATACAAAAGGTGACTGTAACTGATAAATCAAATTAAACGCACCTTCAAATACTGATCAATTATTATTATACAGGAAATTGAAATTTACAAGACTCTATTTAAATTCCAACTATACTTCATTGTGCGCCTTGGGTGTTGGATGTTTTCCCAGTTCATTTGTGGAATACCTATAAGGGCGGTTTATACAATGGATAAAATCATTCCACGTGAGATTCTGTGATTCATGCTCTGTTACATTTTTACAGAAACTTACCCCTTTAAAAGAGTCACAGGTATAACAATTATTGTGCTTTTCAAATCGGCTTTCTCTAGAGGAGGAAATAAGAAGCGGGTGAATAAAGGAAAATCTCCTCTTACATTGGTTCAATGATAGGTGTATATACAAAGTAGAAAAAGTGCTATCAAATCAGTTTCGTGATAAAAATTCCAGGCATGGAAAAAGGACACTCTAGTTCTCCACTGCTTACTTTCTTAGAGCTAAGCTATACTGAATAGCTACATATTTCCGCAGTTACTCTCAGCCTGAAAGGGAGAAAATTAAGGTACTAGAACTTGCACCAGATAAATTGGAGTACATTTTATAATTAGGAACAACGACTGGTTGCTCGTGCTTAATAGAAGCAACACGTGTGCCATTAATTTACCTATGCAGATAGGTGTGTTTATGTAAGAGCCAGAAATTGCAGTTCCTTATTGCAAAACGTGGTCCAGTTGTTGTTAATTTTCTGTTCAGAAGCAACTGCGTTGCTGTTGTCCAATGGCAATCGAAGATTGACCATGAACGACACTGCCTTATTGCATGAGTACCTATGTAAATAGATCTAGGTACTGCACTTGACAGTCAAAAGTTAACAATTGCCAATTTACTTGATGCAAGTTCTAACACTACCTATCCATAGCCTTTACGTTTTTGTAAGATAACTTTGATAAGAGGCAATATTAATTTGTACCCTCCACCAGTTACCATTTGTAATTCTTGCCGTCCTAATCAAGGTAACCTGCGCCAAACAAGAAATGAGCGACAAAGCAAAATAAACTAAATCTGCACCTAAGAAATTATAGCCATTTCCTCACAGTAAAAATGCAATTTTCACACAATGGAAATACAATTAACTATTCAATTATAGTTTAACATAGGCCCACAAGACTGTACTTCATTAGAAAAAATGCATTCAATACTATTTTCTAGCGATTTTTTTAAGCTTTAAAAGAAATCCTCATGAAAATTGTGGAGCAAAAGTCTGCAATTAAGTGTGTCAAAAAGAAGAACCTTATTTTTCTTCTTGCTCATGAAGCATAATATTTTATGAAGTAGCAGCAATTTCAATGGACTTCAGACCACTTTTTAATGCAAATTTTAAGTTTGCCCGGAATTTAGATGAGAGGTTACAAGGAGGATGTATCCCAAAAAATAATTGGGTACAAGAGGGATAAACGCAATGTATGGACAGAATGTTGCCTCGACGCAGCTAGGGGATAAATTTTGGGACACCTGAGTGTGATGACAGATATCACATTCAGATTCTATAACTGATTCAGAAAGGACTAGAAAACACAAAATGCAGGAACATAACTGATCTTGATAGGACTCGCACATGATTTAGATTACATTTGGCGATAAGGAACTAATATATCTAGCTCATTTTAGGAACAATGGGTGTGCAATTAGTTTCCTTGGGCAGATAGGAGGTTTTTAAGGATGATCCAGGATTAGTTAAGCCTCATTGCAAAATGCAGTTCATTGTAAGACAGCTGACAATAAGAAATTAATGGACAGTTACATGAATGCAATATAGGTACATAGATGAAAGAAGTAGGTAGGTACTTTATACACTGGTGAACATTAAGAGAAATGACTAGAAACGCAATCTTCCAGACAAAAAGTTCTTAAAGTCTGGTAAGAAAAAAATAAACTACCTCCATACAGTGTTGTGTCAGAAGAAGGCAAATTAAGAGGATCATAATTTTAGAAGCGCACAGAAAAACTTCAGGGGCCCAGAAAGACTGGGATTGATGCATTTAACTTGCAGGCGCTTCACACACCGTGAAATAGGAATCGACTAAGTTGAAATTTTCAACTTCCAAAGCTGATAAGAACGATTGTTAAAAAAAATAATAGACAAGTCAGCTCTGCAATGGATCAGAGGACCTCAAATGTTATCAAAGACAGGCATAACAACACTTTTGAACAATTTACAACACTAAAAACATCATTTCCATTACTCGGAACTAGGAGTTCTACACCAGTTGAAGCACAAAAAAGATCGAATGTAAAAGACACGATGTGATTACGAAAGGACTTACAGGAGCTTCTAGCTTACTTGAGAGTCACTCGTCAATTTTACGTTCCGCCATGGACACAGAGGAACCTAGAATAACTGTGCAGCTTTCTGTAGATATTTTATGTACAAGTATTTTTGTTTTTTTCTTTTGCATCAGTATCCGCAGAAAAATTTCCAGAGGTTCGTGAGTGATCTTTTTGCATGCCTGGGAAGTGAACGAGTTAACAAGTTTTTTTTTTCTTTAAATCCAATTTTTTCCTTAAATCGTTCAGTCTTATTGTTAGTTTATTGTTTATAATAATTATCAATAATGCTACCATTTTATAAAGTTCGAAATTTACAATAATTTACAGCATGGACAAGAGGGAAACAAGTAAGATAGTTTTCCATCATTTTATCGAGTATCGTCGTCTACCAATGATCGAAGATCAACTGTTTGAAGATCACTGGTAACAGGGAGAAGAGCGCCCGTAGGCTTATAGATACAAATTCTAAGTATCTAAGCAAAACTTAGAAACTTACAGAGACTAGTTTGATTAGATATAAATAAAAAAATGTTCTTTGAATAACATATTTATCATACTAAATAATTCATAACAAAGTGATATACTAATTTGGAAAAAAGAAAAAAAATGCAAATCTGAGCTCCTCCACCACCCCTAAACGATGGCGCGATAGAGCGACAGCATAGAATTGAAATTGGGTTCCTTTCTTCTTTGTTTTAGTTTAGTAAAGTCCACAACCTCTCAAGTTATTGGCAATGATAACATCGGTGACAGCGTCAAATACAAACTGGATGTTGTTTGTATCTGTTGCACACGTCATGTGACAGTAAATTTCTTTGGTTGTTGATTTATTTTTCGCTTCAAACTGTGCTTGGATATATGCTGCTGCCTCACCGAACTCTTGAGCACCTATAAAACAGATAAATAACAAAAATAACCACCTTGATAACAGATAATGATAGTTATAAATACAAGAACTATCTCATGTGTTCCAATAAATATCTTGGTTGAACTTTTCACGGACAATAACAACCAAAAAATAAGTCTGTTCTTTGAGATATCTCTGGTCTTTTGTTCGATCATGATTTTCAGTCATATTGTTGGATTTCATGATAAACTACATCACATGTAACAAGTAGAATTTTGAAAAATGAGTAGAAAAATGATCTTCTTTTGAGTGAGTTGGACCTATTTTTCATAAAATCTTATTTCAAAGCTGTAACTTAAAAAAAAAAACTTTTTTCTCCCTTTCAGAATTGGCCGCCCCTACAATTTGCTGCTCAAGACAACTGATTCTGTTGTCTCCTAGTGAATCCAAGCATGACAAGGTCCATCTCTGCCGTGCTAAGGAAAAACGCCGTGTGAACCTTCAGGCTTTGCCAAATATCCTTGGATAAAACACGGATTTCCTTGTAAACTTATGAATATTTTCCTTCTAATTTTTCAGATAATTTTGTTTGCAAATCACCTTAAGTTCCTGAAAATTTCAAGGAAAAATATTCATAACTTTCCTCAAAAATAAACATTTTATCGAAGGAAATTCGGCAACTCTTGAATGTTCATACAGCGTTTTTTCTTAGCACGGCAGATCACTTATCACCTTTGCCCTGATAGAACAATTGTTAGAGACTGTTGCCTCAGTTCAATTTTTTGATTCCAGAGGATTGAATTTATTTGAGTGTATGTGTGAGGAGTCTTGCTGAGTCCAAGAGCCAAATTGTGCAAAGTGCTTAAATTTTGGAGGACTATTTAAGACTGATAAAATTTGGACCCCGAGCAAAGGACTTCAACCAATGACACAGTTTGTTACAACATCCTCTCTAATCGTAATAATTCCAAAAAATAGCAGCCTTTAAGGAAAAGAGAACCGGAGGGCTTCACTGAAGCTATTTTTTAACCGTAGAAAGATGAAGTGTTAGCATTCAGCTAAATATTTCATTGCATTCAAAAAAATTGAAAAAAACCATAACGACTTTGGCACCCTTCAATGTCTCCCGCTTTCGAAAGGGGCACCAAAGGCACTCCCCTTCTGAGGAAGGCATGTGCTGCCATGCTTAGGGAAACCGATGTACAAGCCTTCAAGCATTTCCAAATCACCTTTGATAAAATACGAATTTTCAAGGAAACCTGTGAATATTTTTTTCTCAATTTTTCAGAGAATTTCGCTCGAAATTTAATCTGAAGCATCTGAAAATTTCAAAGAAAAATATGCATGACTTTCCTCAAAAATGAATGTTTTACCCGTNTGACAACATTCGGTTGTTGATACTGAGTTTTTCTTTGGCACGGCAGTGTTGGACTACACGGTTTGGTCTATCCTAAATCTGGTACTGGAAGAGTGTAGAGATACTATTCTCTATCAGCATGTTTTCAACTTCAGGAGCTTTTTTTGAGATTGGGCTCTGATTTTAGCAGCTCCAGACACAATTTCTCAAAAAAGTGTATGCATTCATGGACAACTTAATCAGAAATTCCTCCTGCAAGTAAGATCTTCATGTAAGAAGCATTTCCTTATTTCGATGGTAAAACTGCAAAAATACATATTTCAGTTTTTGACCTTACAAACTTCCTGACATATTTTATTTCCCTCATAGAAAACTACTGAACGTCATTTCTTGAAAACTTCGGTGATTTGTTTTCTTTATGGGCAGAATATTTTGCGAAAATTTGGAGACATGATGATGGTTTGGTCTTTTTTTAAAAAATAATACAGGAGCCGAGTTTTGAAGCACTGCAACCGAGATACGCATTTTTGCAGTTTTACTGTTAATATCTCCTTAGATGAGTTTCTCCTCCAACTTTACTTTCAGATTAACTTTATAGCTGAACACGATGATGAATAAATATTGTCAAAATTCCAACAAAACAGTGAATTTTTCACTGATTTCGATTAAGATCGGTGTAAAATTCATCTGTTTAACCAAAATTTCGACTTTTTTCGTTTGTTCGTCTTTGGCAGGGCCACTTAAATCAGAACTCAAATTCCTTTTCATCGGGGTCTTCTTGCTTCAGTTGAATCGTTAACTAAGCCCACAAACTAGATTTGTTTTGCAAATGAAAGACTTTTTCCAAAGAAAAGTAACATTGGCAATAGAAGGAGAAATTAACAGGATGAGTGCTGTAAAAACGAATTTACGATTATAGTCAATTCTGTTGGCAAACTATTAAGGAGCTCAGTTGTGTAAGAACAATCATACCTACTGTATCAACAAATCTGCAAATTTTAGAATTGGCCGACAGATTGCAAATCAGGGGGAAAAAAATGGAAATGCATGTCTAATAACTGTAAAGTTGCATTTTTCCTTTCTTATTAAATTTAAAAAAAAAAAAAAAAAAAAAAAAAAAAAAAACACAATTTTCTCTTGAATTTTCTGTGAGTTTTTCACTTATTATAAAATATTCACTGAATCATTCGAGAAGATCTTTTGGTCAGTTACTATTTGTAAGAATTAAACTTAATGAGGGATATGCAAAAATTACAGCGAAGATAAGAATTTTCCAATTTTAAATATAAAATTAGCATGGGTTGATTTATGAAAGCCTTAAATAATTCTGAATTAATTAACAACATTTTATACAAGTAGGTTAGTCGTGCCTTCTCAGGTGAATCAAATTTGTCAGGAAGAAAATATTTTGACCATAGGATCTTTCTAAAATATTTTCAACTTAGAGACACTTAGGTGCACCCTGGAGTAAATATTTTCACCAGATGAACTCGAAAAATGTGTCATGATAAAAGTGGAAAAGGAGAATAAATAAACCTCCTTGAAGTACAGGTGGAACCATTAATGTGACCATATCTGTGAAAAGGGACCTTAGTTTCCGGGAGAAAAATTCCTTCAAAGTTCTGCAATACTGAAACAACGTTTTTTTACAACCTAAGAATTTTTGTCTATGATGAAACAATCATTCACAGTTAACATTATGCATGATATGAATTACTCCACTGAATGCGACTCTCACATTAGCAGCAAAATGAAAAGTTAAAAATAATCCTGCTCTAAACTGGATTAATATTATCAACCCCAATAAAGAACCAAAATTTCAAAAATAAGAAATATCAGAAGGAGATCCTAGATCTAGGATAAATATATTAATCTGATTTAATCTAAATTTAAGTATAAATTTATAATGAATTTAAATTTTAAGTCGGAAGGGACCATTACACTTTTTAACAATTTCATGAATGATAACTTATTTCGTTGTGTTTGGACTTCAAAACTAATATCTTCTCAATTTTTGAAACTTAAGGTTCAAACTTGGGCCAAAATTTCCAGATATTCTTCCTCCATTCATTTGCAAAACGTTAAGGAAAACTTTCTATTCCTCCCAGATAAGGTTCCTTTTCACAAATCCAGCTAACAGAAAAATAATAATGTGTAATTGCCATGGACATTATTACACAATCTCGTTGAAATGGGGAATTCCCAAATTCAGGAGGAACCATATTGAGAAAATAGAAGAATTTATTGGCGGCTACTGTCTCACCTGCATATTCCGGAAAACAGATAGTTAAAGGCGATTTCCTAATTTTTTCTGCGAAGAGATCTTTTTTGTTTAAGAAAAGTATAATGGAAGTATCGGTGAACCATTTATTATTACAAATTGAGTCGAATAATTTCAAACTTTCTTGCATACGATTCTGAAAAAGAGAAAAGAATTCACAAAATGAAAAATGAGATTAAATGAAGAGGCAAAACATTTGAAAAAGAAATTGATGAATTCTCTGCCTACAAAATTCATCCTAGTATTTTGTAATTTCAAACATTACAGATGGCTCATTGTTACCTTTCAGAAAATAAACTAGGAGCAGAATTCTGAATCACTACAAATGATGAATGGATTCCTACTGGAGCCATCGAAATTAAAGTTCAGTCACTCCTCAGCAGACAAAATACACTTTATACATCGCCATAAAACTAAAAGACACTTCCTCTCAGTGCTCGTTTGACAATAAAAATATTTATTTATTTATTTACGGTATCGATGGGTCATGAAGACACATTAGCAAGAGAATATTACGAAAAAAGAAAAAGGCTAATGAATATGGCGACAAGGTAGAGATAAGGTTTAATTACAAACTAGAATACAATAACAAGGTAACAAAGTAATAAAAACATTTTCGTCTAAATAGTGATTCGACAATAGGAAAATAAATCAATTATTCCAACTAAAGTTCATAGATTTAGGAAATCTGTAGAATTTTTTTTACGATAGAACAACGATCAGAAAAGATTTATTTATGAGTATATTGATGGTGAAACTCTTAAATCACATATCTTGGTTTGCGGCATGGCAGACTTCCTGTCATACTTTACTTTTTAAATGGAAGACTTCTCAACATCAATTCCTCAGAACGTCCATGATTTACTTCTCTGTGCAAAGTAAATTCTAGAAAAATTTCAAGGAATAATGTCGATCCGTTCTTCATCAAAAACAGGAGGAGAGATTTTTAAACACAGCATCCAAGATACATAATTTGGGAGTTCCAGCGTCGATATCTTAAATAGTAATCTGGATCTTGATTCGTTAGGTTATGGCTTCAAAGGCACTGAAATTAAGAGTTGGTGACTTGGTTACGTTAAAGACTTAATTCCTCAATTGTAAACATGATTTTTTGAAATTATAAATTGATAATAAACGAAGAAAATAAGAACAGAGTAGAATCTTACAGTGGTTTCATCTTCATGAAGAACTTGGTCATACTCGGACATTGCAACACAAAAAATTATGGCGGTAACATCTTCAAAACAGTGGATCCATTTTTTCCGTTCTGATCTTTGACCACCCACGTCAAATAATCTGAAAAAATAAAGAGACGTTAAGAACTCTGCGATACAAAACACGAAAGTTCTCTTAAACAAATATTGCCTATTGCTTTGCTTAACTATTGCCTCCTCTTCAAGAAATACTTCAAGTGAGGGGCTCGGAGGACAAGGTACATAAATGCAGTTTTTGCTATTTCAAAAAATACGTGTTTTAAGTTTCAAAATTACATGGAGCCTTGGGGCAGAAAGGAAGTTCAAACTGACTTTTCGAAGCTTAAAAATTGGAATTTGGGAGCGAATTTTTCACAGAATATATATTCAGACTGGTTTTACGTGAAATCATTCACATCTCAGTTATTTCGAAAACTGCACATATGCGCCTTGTCCTTCAAGCCCCTCGAATGTCCCTTTTGCGCAATTTGCCTCAGGTGTGCAGTCATGATAAACATTTAGGAAGCTTAGCTAGCTCAAGCCGTTGGAGCACCAAATGCTTTTTTTTCTTTGATACTAAAAAAACTTGATCGGTAAAAATTGGCTAAATAATGAATTTGGTCATAACTATGAGACATATACCTATGAATGACTTGTTGCAAAAACACATATACCAGTATTTTTTGATGATGCAAACTCTTTATTTTTCAATGCAAAAACAACAGACTACAGTAGATGTCTACATTAATATAGGTATAAGACAATATGAGAAAGGGCTTAAGAATCGTTTGTGCCTCAATCCTGGAATTCATCTTACGAATAGAGTAGAGCAGAAAAAACTCCTTCTATGTCTCAATAGGCAATAAGACAAACATCGACTGAGCTTGTTGCGTGCACCTACAATTGAAGGAGTTCTACTTTCAATGCGATGCGTGATAAAATCAATTTTTCATGCGCGTGTGAGACAAATCAAACGGTTAAAAGAAACTTACTTGAAATTTAAATTCTTGAAGGAAAAATGAACTTCAACTATTCCGGTAGTCTTAACTCTAGTGCGCAAAATATCCTGTTCGGTTGGTTGATAATTTTTTGATCCTAAACGATCTAGGTCATCCAAAAAGCTGAAACAAAGCACAGTTTTGTTAGAAAAGATGAACAAATAAAAGGCGAACATGCACTTTACATTATCTCCTAGACCGTAACAATACCTACTGCCGTGCCAAGGAAAAACGCCGTACGAACATTCGAGAGTCGCCGGACTTTTCCGGATAAAACATGCATGTTTGAGGAAAGTTATGCGTATTTTTCCGTGAAATTTTCAGATATGTTAGATCAAATTGCGAACAAAATTACTTGAAAAATTCGAAAAAAAATATTCAAAATTTTTCCAGTAAATTCAGTTCTTAGCAAAGGAAATCTGGCAAAATCTAAAGGCTCACACTGTCGTTCTAAGGAAGAACGTCGTATGAACATTCGAGGGTGCCGAATTTACCCGGATAAAACGTGTATTTCTGAGGAAAGTTACGAATATTCTTCCTTGAAATTTTCAAGAATTTTTGGTGAAATTGCGAACAAAACTATTTGTAAAATTCAAAGAAAAAAATTCATAAGTCTACCGAGAAATTCGTGTTCTATCAAAAAAGATTTGGCAACGCCTGTAGGTTCATACGGCGTTTTTCCTTAGCTTACACTGGAAAAAAAACACACATTGGATCTAGAGTCCAGGCTCTTAAAAACATCGACAAAAAAAAGGACTCTTGATTCAATCGGATTTTTGCTTAAATCAAGAACCAAACCTCGTAATTTGAGCGGATTTCCTTTTGATTTAAGCAAAAATCCGATTGAATCAAGAGTATTTTTTCTTGCCAATGTTTTCAAGAGTCTGGACTCTAGATCCGATGTGTGTTTTTTTCTTTTTTTCCAGTGCAGGAGAAGACGATTCTGCGACCAGCGGAAGAGAGTTGTGAAGTGAGAAGTTGAAGCGATCCCTTTGACCCCTGGATCACCCCTCTCTCGTTCAAGGCCCTTGTACCGGGGACTCCTTAAGTCCCTTCAGGATCGGCACACTTCTCCTGCAGGTGTTTGGAGGGGCCTCACGGTGCGTTGCGGGTTGCGGGGCTGGGAACGGAAGGCGAATGTGGGTGCGGGTGAGAGTCGAGTCGGGGTGCCGAGGACCATTTTGAATTATTTATCAGTGTGAGACACTGTCTCTACTCACTATGAAGGTTGTAACGTCCTGTTCTCCTTTCTCCTTACGCTTATGTTTTGTCGACGCCACCGCTGCGCTGCCGCAGTGGGCTTGAAAAACATTAAATTCAGTTTTTCCCTCTCAAATGAATTGCATTTTGCAAATAGAAACCAGGGTCATTGCAATGTTGCTAAAATTGGGCTACTTCACCCATTTCAATATGACTATTGATATCCTGAAAAAAATATGAAATTTACATAGAAACTTTTGTCCTTTTACGGTTTTAGAGAGTAAAATAGAAACTGTTCAGAGATAATCAGGTTTTCCTTCCAAGACAAAAGAAAAATCTGAACAAGTTTCATCTTTACTCCCGATAAGCTATAAATTCAAGACGAAAATTTACCTTTTTAAATTTAAATTTTTGCATCAGTTCAGTATTTCGTTGCAAAGAATTTAAGTTGCACAATCCTGGCAACAACGGAATGCTCTCGGTTCCTTCTTGCAAAATGAAATTCAGTTGATCCACATAGCGGTCAGGGGTAGACGCACCAGTCGAAAAGCATTTCATCGGTATTTAATTTTAAGTTTTCTTTCCCTTTCTCAATAGAGGCGCATTAATCAGATCAAAGTCGGCGAAGCGCGCTTTTTCAAGAAATAACTGGACGTACGAAAAACTAATAGCTCCTTCATTTCGATGACTATGCAAATTGAGCTACTCAGAAGTGGTAACAATCGTATCATGCGTTTAGCAGACGGCGCGTCGTCGACGCAATAACGTTTGATGAAGGACGTACTAGGAATGAGGGAAAAGGGCACAGGTCACAGGTCACAGATCCATCGTGTATTCGGCTTTTTCCTGGTCGCAACTAGTTTTAACGATGGTTTGTGCTGCTGAATTTTAAGTTATCTAACTAAGAAACGATGAAGAATACGACCCTGTCCTTGTCCCCTTCGCACTGAAAAAAAAGTACGGTTGCATCTACTAGGTATACGTTTACTTGGTATTTTACACAGTGACACTATTTATTGTAAATAACCAGAATTATGGTAGTATTCACTAGACTCTGGCAATACTTACATTAATATGGTAAATGATACCATAGAGTGCGGTGTTCATTACCATTCTCGGATCACTGTGTTATAGAGTATGGTAAAATCTACCTTATTTTTTCAGTGCGTTTTTTAAAACAGCTCATTTCCTTAAGAAACCTCATTTCGACGGTGTAAGTCGGCTATCACATAACTCGGTTTGCGACGTCGCAGACTTCCTGTCATAGTTTAATTTTTAAACGGAAAACTACAAAACAGCAATTCTTTAAAACTGCCGTCATTTCTCTTCTCCGCGCGAAGAAAATTCTGCATAAACTTCAAGGAATGATGTCAATTTGTTCTCCTATAAAAAAATAACATAAAGGCGGAGATTTTCAAACACCGCAAATGAGTTATGTGATTGCCGACTTATACCGTCGATGTGTAACAATAAGGTGCTCGTTCATAAAAATTATACTCATGTATCGAACCATTTTGGATCTAAGAACATACTTCAACAGTTTAATCTGTTTAACAAGCAAAATTCACGAGACTCTGACGAGTTTCAGTGGATTACGATGGAAATACTATCGGCCTATGTGGAAAAATTTTGGGTCCATTCCAGTGGCGTTACATTTCCACATTGTAGTATCACTGTGTAAAAAATCAAGTGCAACTTATAGTAGCTGTTACCATACTTTGTTTTTCTTTTCAGTTTATTTCTTTCGTAAGGCGGATACCCCCGTAAAAATCACTGATTTCTCTGATACTGATTCACTGATAACATAAACCCTCAAAACAATAGGTACTTAAAATTTCCGCAAAATTTGACTCGAAGCGGAGGAAAAGATTCCCGGTTTTTGGAACAAATTCCCCGACTTTTTCCTAATTCTCCAGTTTAAAATTTTGCATTTCCTAGTGAATTTCGGCTATTCTCGATCCTAGACACCATGGTTTACACTGATTGGTGCAATCAATCATACTCGACCGCGAAAATTCACCACCATCGATGGGATCGCAAACGGATTGCATTTTGCAAAAAGGAACCATGAGCATTGCAATGTTCCTAAGATTGTACAACTCCACCCATTGCAATACAACGATTAATATCCTGAAAAAATATGAAATTCACATGGTAATTTTTGTCCTAAATTTACCGTTTTTAGCGAGTTAAATAGAAACCGTTTAGAGATAATCAGGTATTCCTTCCAAGAAAAAAGGAACTGCACAATCTTAGCAATATTGTAATGCTCCTGGTTCCTTTTGGCAAAATGCAATCCAAATCATCCAGGTGCTCCCAGGTACCATTTCAGGAGGCCGGGTATTCCATCACTCTTGGGGCGCATTTCCCGAAATTCCAAATTTTCCAGGCACTTTTCCACGGGGGCACGCGGGACCCCGCCGCGGACGACAGCTCCAGAGGGGTGCGCTACTCGCAACGGTCCAGGCGTTGACCCTGGGGCCCATCCCCGTCCACGCACGCAGGTTCGCAACTGTTGAGCGACAACTCAGGTCCCGCGCCGCGTTGCCGAACGTCGCCGAAAGCTCAGCGCTCACCGCCGCGGACCCCCGAATCCTACCACCAAACGGCAACGCCGCGGGAGTTACTATTATTTGTTTCGCTCAAGGGTGTACCGTCGGCCGCCCTCCGCGCGGGCCCCGCTGCCGAACCGCCCGCTTTCCCGCTCCGTCAACCCTTTCCCGGGGGTGGATTTGGCGGCGGGGCCTCGCAACTGCACGGTGCGCTGCGAGGGGGCGAGGGGCGCACCCCCTCCCCTCCCTGGGGCGTGGCAATGACGTCTGCCCGCGATCAATAAAACGGAGTGCTCGCCGCGACTGTGCGCGCTAAATAAGTCCCCCACCACCCACCCTCTCCCCGTCGGCACTGCCGAATTTCGTATCGAAAGCGTGCTTTTTACGCTGAGAGAGCGTGGCCAGCCATCCCGGGTATCAAAGGGTGAACCCCGTGACGTGGTAGGGGGTCCTTCGAGTACGCTCGAGCTTCGAATATCCGCGATTTTCTTCATCCGCGGTCCGAGGAACTTGATTAGCTGCGCTCCCGGCCTTCAAATTGACCTAAAGAGGAAACAACGGATTGGACAATATTTTACGATAAGGAACTACAATTTAGCTCAGTTCAGAATGTGTAGCGTATGTGATTCAAATATCCGCGGATTCCTTTATCTGCGGTCCGAGGAACTTGGTTATCCGCGCTCCCGGGCTTCACATTAACCTAAAGGGGAAACAACGAATTGGACAATATTTTACGATAAGGAGCTACAATTTCTAGCTCAGCTCAGAATCAACGTATGTGATTCAAATATCCGCGAATTCCTTTATCTGCGGTCCGTGGGACTTAATTAGACGCGCTTCTTTGCTTCAAATTGAACTAAAGAGGAAACAATGAATTGGACAATATTGTACAATTAGGAACTACGATTTCTGGCTCAATTCAGAATCAACGTATGTACCATTTGTTTCCATATACAAATACGTTTTTTTTTCTTTTTACCAATGAGCCAGATATTGTAGTTCCTTATTTCAAAATGCAGTCCAATTGCCGAGTTGGGGCCGATTTCCAAATCGCTCCGCGAGCAGATCCTTAAAAGGCCCCCCATATGGTTAACATTATGAATATAAAGGGGATATTGGGAGGTCCTTGATATGGTATCATAAAAGGGACGATTTTAATGAGTATGACATTGGAAGTAGATCATTGCAAGGAGCTATAGTGATTAGCCTCTACAAAAATTAAAAATACGAAGAAAAATGTTTTGAGGGTTTTGAACATTTTAAGGTAGCCTCGTACATACTTTGAAGTTTGTCATAATCACATAATTTATCCCCGTATCTTTCACATTTTGCGGTGGTAAATTGTTTTTATTCCTTTCAATTTTCCAAGTT